AAGACAAGAGAAAGCAAGGGTTAACAGAAGTATAGGTTGAAGGAAAGACTTAGTAGAGAAGAGTAGTACTTACCTACAGATAAACCACTAGCCAAATCTAACACGCCTATTTCGACTTAGCCGCTGTAGGTTACACGAGAATTGGAAGGAATTAGCGACAGACTCGCCGATTTGCTGCACGACAATAGATTATGTGAAATGATTAGAATCATGTTATTCATTTTTAATTTATAAAATTATACTTGACTTTTTATTATTTTTAAAGAATCAATAACTTGTATATCCTTTCGATTTGTTTCTTACAATTAATTTTTTAATAAATCGGATAACTTTAATAAATGTAAATTTGAAAGTAATTTATTTTATAATTCTACAGTTTATAAATTCCCTTGGCAATATATAGATATATCCACTTGCGTTTATGCTTGAACCTTTTATGTTAAATAAGTACGAATTATGATATTATTATAGTGTCTGCAAATAACACCTTTTTCTTAAGTGCTATATTATCAGCAATGCACAAAATTCTATTGTAAAATGCCGGAAGTTCCGCTTATTTATTCGACTTCCGGCGTAGTTTTAAAGCGGCCGGAAATTTTATAATATAAAATATATTGCAGGAATTTCTAAATTTCTTTTACTGAAAAACAAGGTAATTTACGACATGCCGAGATTTTGTGTGCTGATTATCAATGTTTTTATTTATCAAATAATAAAATCCCTTTATTTTCATATTAATAAAATATAAACTATCTGTAAAAATTACAAAAATATTTCTAATTTGATATTTATATATTTTTTTACCGGTATGTATTTCATCTATAATCCTATTGTTACGTTCAATTGTACTAAAAATTTTGGAAATAAGCACAATCACCACCTTTGTATATCATTTTGTGATTAATTTCACTTACTATCTTAAACAAATTTATGTACTATGTACAAATAATATATAGTTATTTGGCAAGCATATCATAGTAAGCTGCTGGATAATTATTTATACGATAAAAATTGTATATAATTGATCATAACACCATAATTACTAGACCGTAATATTTTAATTTGTATTATTAAAATATTCTGATGATGTGAAATAAATATTTTGTGTAGGAGAGTTATCTTGTGTAGAGTCTATAGAAAATAACTGCATCCCATTGTATTGATTATGAAAGTAATAACCATCCGAATCAAGAGGGTCGAATGAAAATTGACCGTTTGATAAATTGGAAAACTCTCTATTATGCATGTTATCGATCAAATCAATGTGCACGGTATCCTGATTATTTATAGCTGTGGTATGTTCAGCATTTAAATATGCTTGAGGAGAGAAGATAGTTTCTTGGGTAATAGCATTATAGCTATTAGGCTGTGGCATTCTAAACTGGTCTTGAATTGAAGTATTAAAGTCTTCCGAAGATGTGATATGAATATTTTGTGCAGGAGAGTTGTCTTGTGTAGAGTCTACAGAGAATAACTGCATTCCATTGTATTGACTGTTTGATAAATTAGGAAATTCTCCATTATACCATAAAATTGACGGGTTATCGATAAAATTAATATGCATGGTTTCTTGGTTATTTATAGCTGCGGTATATTTGGCGTTTAAATCTGCTTGAGGAGAGAGACTTATTTCTTGGGTAATAACATTATAGCTATTAGGCTGTGAAGTTCTGAGTTCTTGATTTGAATTATTAAAATATTCTGACAATGTGAGATGAACATTTTGTGCATGCGAGTGAGGTTGTGTGGAGCTTATAAAGAACTGCGTTCCATAGGATGGTCGTCTATTATCACGTGCATTCGGATAATGTGGATCGGTGCATACCTTGGATTTAGAATTTGGACCACGTTTTTTGCCTGAGTTAATAAAGATGCATTCGAGCTTCTTTTCTGCAAAGTTCGTACAAGTAACTGCTCCCGAGCATTTTTTATGTTTGTTTTGACAGTTAATACATGCTACAGTAGCGTAAGGTCCCCGAGATAACATTGACTACAATAATGTGAATAAAAAAAAACATAAAAGATACAGATTTAATAATGAATGTCTGAGTTCGTATTAATATAACAAATGACCTTTGAATTGATTTATGCAAAATAAAGTTTTTCAATTTTTTTTAATATATTAAAAGTAAAAAAAATTTTTTTATTCGAAGGATCCTCTCCACTTATATTTAATTTTATTATTTTTTATAATATAAATATATACGTAATGCAATATACTGGTATATGTATGTATAAAACAGTAATAAAATTAAATCTTAGTGGAGATGGTTAAAGAAGGTTCTGTTTAGGGACTTTAACCAACTCGGTATTTTACAAGATTTTTTTATTGTACCTTTTTTTGCCGGCATATATCGCAAGCTATTGTTTTTAATCGTTTTTCGCGTGAAGTACCAGGATTTGATGTAGTATTAGTCATTTGATAAACTTGAACCTCTGTAGCTAGTCTTAAAGTATTGTTTTTGCTTATTCTCTAAAACTCTACGGCCAAGTTCTTTTTTTTTTATCATTCAAAGGAAAAAAAGAAATATAAATTTCTAGTTAGTTGAAAGTGAAAAAAAAAATTTCTTCATTAAAGACATGGAACAATTGATTAAAAGGCAACCATTCACAAGGTTAATGATAGTAATTGAAACTTACCGTTTTTGATTGTTTATTATGAGATTATTATATAATAATTATAACCGATTTCTTTTCATATTTGTTTTTTATTTTATTTTTTATTTTTTATATATAAGAATCTGTACATGCCTTTTATAACAATTTTAATAATAACCATTAATTTTTTTTTTAAGAAACATAAAAAAGCATTTTTTGTTCGCATGTGCTACACTTCGGTATATCATTTTACCTAAAAGAAAAATCGGAGGTTTACCGTTACGTATAAATTAAAGGGCTATCTGGATTGGTAGTTTGTAAAGTCTTGTAGGTTTAGAAGTAAGGAGTAGAAGTTAGAAAAGGAACGTTACATTATGCAAGCATGTTACACTTCGGTATATCACATTTTACCTAAAAGAAAAATCGGAGGTTTACCGTTACGTATAAATTAACATTACATTATGCAAGCATGTTACATATCGGTATATCACATTTTACAAAAATTGTACTATTTTTGTTTAGGGGCTTCGCGACACACTGTTGAATATCTATTATCTATTATATTTCACCACAGTTCCTATTGGACGAGAAAAAATCCCACTTTTCGATCAAATAATGAAAATATCGTTGAAACAGTATAAAGGTCTAATAGAACAAATATTATACTAAAATTTTGCAAGGAATTTTTTTTGTTAGAACACAAAAGGTGGTTTTGTAACTAAAATTTTAAGCTACCGACGATTTTAAAAAACTTTAAAAAACTTCGATTTTTTTTTGAAAATTTTATGTTACACCTGATCTTATAATTTGATTGGTAGACGAAAGGTGGCGTAGTCAACATTGTCCAATTAGAGATGACATTTACAACTGTCCAATTAGAACTGTGGGAAGAAATTAGAGATCCCTATGTCCATAACATTTCTGATTAAAATTTTTTACTGATAATGTCATGCCTGTAGAATAATTTTTGTTATTTGCATGCATTACATCATAAAAATATCATCAGAAATGTTCACAGGTGAGCATATAGGGCCGTGGAATATATTGACATAGACATTTATCGTTATTAAACAAATTATAGACAAAAAAGTGCGTCAAGAGAAAAATCTTAGTGATTCTTCTTTTTCAAAATACACATTCTTGGTACAAATTCATGATAATAGTTCATCTAATCAAGTCATATAATTGTAATTAAAGTTTTTTATACGACTATTTTTTACAATAAAATGAGCTTCTTTATTGATTAATTTTATAAAAAAACACAAATGCTTTATTTCGAATATTCATTGAGTGACCTTACGCTTACCATATACGTAGATATATATTATTTCCAAGAAAAATGAGGATGTATATCAAAAATTGGTATCAAAGGTACATATCTCCTATGCTCACAAATAAATTTTTATTTGCTTGCCATTATTTCTTGTGCAAGCGAAGTTTTGAAAAAAGATAAAACAATTGCTGAAGATAAAATTGTTTTTTAAACATCAATGACGAAAAATGAAATCCGAAGCACCAATGAAATAGATTCCTAAAGGTATTTCGACTTTGGTTTTTTTTTTTATTGACTACTTCTCAGATGTTAACAAAATTGTTGTTGCTGAATCTTTCCTCAATGATGGGATTGCACGTAATTTAGTTCCTAAACCTATTGGGCAATCTTGCGGAACAGTTCAGGTTACCATGTGGTTTTCTCGCACACGCATAAAAATTTTGATTAATAATGTAAGGGCGTAATATACCCAAATGCACCCGATGATTGAGTGGCACCATCGCGGTAAGTTTGTCTTTTCAATTCAGCTTTGTCATACGCGCAATTCTGTTTTTGTTAAGGTTTCCCACGAATGAAATAATATATAATGCTTATTAAATATTTAGTATCATATAAATTAATATAGTCAATCAGGTATCTTAACTTACTGCGCGTATCATTATTGTATAGAATTAGAATTATATATCAAAATTGCCCGCGACGATAAGGAGTAGAAAGTCCAGATTTTCGAAAAGTACTTTGTACGACTTGACTTAATCATAAATTATCGCCTTTGTATACTGAATTACATTGCTCATTGGGTTCACATGTCTGTTTAAATTGTTCACAATTTAACTCTAATAGTTAACTTATATGTTCTTTGTATTAGAACTAGTTATTTGCTTCTACAGTACTGTACATACTATGCACGAAAATTTTCGCAGATCCTTTCTACCAGCCAATCAAATCGTTAAATACGTACTGTACGCGAAAAAAATTCGGGTATCATATAAATAGCACATCACTATATACATCTATTTTAATATATACTCGGTTTGAAGATATTGCCGTGCTTGAAATCGATACCTGTTTTTCAAGCACCAGAAGTTATACCTGCCTAAAATTAGCAATTAATTTTACTTTATTAGATATAACTATTTTTTCTTTTTTTTTTTCTTTCTCCTTTCATACATGTACTAATCTGAATGCCAATATTGCGTATTAAGCTATTTCTAGTATTTACAATAGTACATTTAGCGATAATACAACAGCCACATGACATAACCAAATTTGACTTGAATTTAATTTAATCGTTATCATGATACTGCTAATATCGTTATCGTGTACTGTTAATGTATTTACTGCGATGTAGAATCGTTGGATATAGTCAAATGTGATAAAATTGGAATTTTCCTTTTTATCGTAATTTTGTTGTAAAGTATTATTTATACGTAACTACAGAATTTGCTCACTTAACAGTTCTAATTAAAATAGCAGGATGTTACACGACTGATCCTTCACACGATGTGTAACATATAAAAGAATTATTTTACAATACCAGATCATTCCTCTAGTACAAGTTATGATTATAATCCAAGATTATTTTATTAAAATAAAAAATGATGTTGGATTATAATAATAACATGTACTAGCGGATGATCTGGTATTGTAAAATAATTTTTTTTTATGTTGCACACCGGGTGAACGGTTCTTCCTGTAAATTAAACCAAATTTTTATGCATAGATGTGAGATGTGCATAATACATATCAGTTTATCCGTATTTATATGTCAAATAAATTTCGGAGATGAATTTTTTCTTGTAGGATGTCTTATTAACAAAAGTCCATATGTGATTATTCCATAGTATCTTTGTTTGAAAACATTGTAACATTAAACAAATCAAAAAGTAAGTGTCAATCAATGGAGTAACCTAGGTGTTTCAGCTAAGGTGCGATAAATATTGTCACGCCAATGAACAAATTGGTTCTAAAGTATTACACAGATTTGTCATTGTTAAGAAGTTGGCTTCCGCTATTCCATCTCATGCTTAACTAATGATGTTTTGCTTAATCAATGGTTTAAAAAGGAATTGATATTAAAATTAATTCGGTATCGTTTGTAATCTCAGTGACACCAATTTTACATTAAACCATACCAAAATAGAAACAATATAATATACAGTATTATTTAAATATACGCGCTGCAAACGTACACACACTGTAGAAAATTTGGATCAAGGAAAAATACCTATTAAAATTAAAATTAATTTCTCTAGATATATTAAAACCCATTAATCTTATACTGTCTTGTAAAGAATGACGTAACGTCGCCAACAATAGTGAGGCTAAAGCCGAGTGGATTATTAGTAACCACGGAAAGGCACACGCTTTTTTTTACGCTGTGAAATTAGGTCCCTTTTTTATGGATTTGCCTACTGCCAAGCTTTGATTATTAAAGGCGCAGTTCTTTCAAGATATTTTATTCAAAGATTTCTTTTACATTATGGAAGTTAAATTCCAATATTAATTGGATTAAAGATTACTCATGTTGGACAAATTGACCCAATCGAACAAAGTCGTTGCAACAAAAAATACGTGCGCCTTGGGCTAGCGACTTACAATTGTCTGTCTTTGCTTATTTGACGATGGCGTAAAATCAATTTGTGATAAGTAAACCTTGCATAAAAGGCAATAATATAGAATCTTTTCACTTTCTCACCGCTGGCCTACACGTGTTTAAAGACGCCCCAGCCAATTTGCAAAAAAAAATATATATAGGTGCAATTGAAGACTTAATACTTTGTAAAAAATTTATTCCGTTTCCTCCTAGACCTAGAAAATCCACAAATACTTGCATTTCTGAAGAATATCCGTCTAAAGATGGTTATGAAAATAATAAGCAGTTGAATATTATTGCTCGTGCAATCTTAATTTGCAAAAGTTTGGGTTTAATGTGGAAAGAAATTGGTTATTACGAAATCTGTGATGATGTAAACGACTTCGTGTAATTCAATGTTCACTTTTCATTCTTTTCTCACCAAATCCACTAATTGAATAAGTTCGGCCAGACGTTAAGGCCACTCATGAAATTAGTTGAACTTAAATTTCAACTGAATTATAATGTTATTATCAGGATCCTTTAATTGTTTGAGGACAGATTAGAAGATGTCGGTGAAACATTAATGGAATCATTTATGCGTATTAAGCAAGACACCCGAGAAAAATTCTCGATCTTTGTCATTAAAGCCTCATCACAATTCAAACAAATATAAGTTTGGGATTTTCTTTATATTTTGTACAAAATAATCCTGAAATTGCTTTCAATAAAGTACTTGACCATTATCTTAAAAAAAAATGAAAATTTAATGAAGGAATCGGAAATAAGGATGGCTCCGAAAGTGTACTTTCGGCATGATTTGGTTTATCGAATGTCCGAAAGTCGAAAGTCCTACCGAAACTTTCGGTAGGGCTTTCGGTAGGGCTTTCGGTACTTTCGGTACTTTCGGTTGGACTTTCGACTTTCGGTTTTGTACTTTCGACAAGTCAAAATTTATCGAAAGTATTTCGGCAAGCCCAAAGTAATTTCGGAGCCATTCTTAATCGGAAATCCCAAAACTTTCATTGTCATCAAATTTCTATGGATAATTAAAACATTTGGCTCAGATGAACGGATAACATAACTTTGTTTTAAAGACCTATTAAAAGCTCGTGTTAGTATAAATAAACAACTTGAGCAAAGCTCTAACAGAAACACACCTCGAAATAAATCAACATGAATTTCATGCAGTTTTCAATATTTATAAAGTTTATTGCAACACAAGCAATTTTTATCTTCCATCTCATTTAGTCATAATCTCTCAATGCACTAGCCAGGAAATCCTAGCACCATTATTCAAGTATTATTTACCTGATTTATTTAATGTAAAGAAGACTTTTAATTACCAATGCAAGCTGTTGATGACTCCGATGATAATTATAATTATATATTTCCAAAAGTTATTAAGAAAAAGAGACTATTAAAAGAGTGGAATCAAGTATCGTACGATATATCAGCGCGGAATAATACCCAATTCAGGTTTACAGTGACATTTCGCAACTACCTTCGTAAAGTCATTTATGAGAAATTACCAAATTCAGAG